GTGATTCGCTGAACAAGTGGAAACTAGTCCCAGATATCTGTCCCCCTGCCGAGAGCCGTCCCCCCACCCACAGAGCGCCTGTCTGAACTGCGCAGGGCCCTGGATGCCCAAGGACTGAGTCACGCAGGAATGCGGGGGAGGCATTTTTGAAGTGGGTGTGGCGTCTGGCCTCCCCCTCAACCGCCGCCCCAGCTCTGCTGTCCTGCACCTTCCCCGCCCTCTTGGGGACGGCGGGAGCGGCGCGCTGGCCGGTTCCGATGAATCAACTGGCTCTCTTGCTGTTCCAAAAATAAATATGCCAGAGAAGGGGACACCAACCTTACGAGCAGCCCCTTTCTCCCCTTCCCACAGCCAGCCCCGCCTCCTGAGGCTCCGCCCACGGCCCGAGCCCCCTGCCAGCAGCCATCTCCCCTCCACTTCCAGAAACGAATTAAGAAATGAAGTCACCGTGCGCCTCTGATACACTGGCGCGACTGCCCAGGGCTGCCTGAGCCGGCCTTATAAATATCTCCCCAAACTAGTGCGGTGACCAGAGAGCGGTCTCAGTGCTCAGTCCTGATTAGGAACGGCCTCCTCCTCCCAGGACTACCTGTCCCTCTGAGAGCATATTTTCGCATTCACAGACAACGGAGCTGTTGCCCTGTGCACAGTGCCTAAGGCAATTACTTGAAATAATTCAAATGCCAGCAACAACAGCTTCTACCGTGTGCAAAAAAAAAAAAAAAAAAAAATCATTAACAGGCAGAGAGATCCTTGGGGGCAGGATTATTACCATAGCAGAAAAGGAGGGAAAAGAGGACCCCATGCATCTTACCTGCGCAGGCTGAGTACGCATGCACACACACATTTACGACCAGGTAGGTTGGAGAACGGTCGTATTTACGATCTGGGTGTCAGCAGCTTTTCTGAGATATATTTTCATAGGAACTTCAGAGCAATTGAACAAACGATTACTGTCACTGGGCAGCTACCGTGTATTTTACTAAGCATTGCCCAAGAGGAGGTGTGCCTAGCACAAGGCGGGTGCTTAATAAATAGTTGTTTGGATGGATGGTTGGATGGATATGAATTGGTGGATGATACAGATGGATGGATGGATAGATAGACAGGCTGATAAATAGGTAGACGGATATGAATGGATGGATGCATATGGATAGACTGATGGGTCCACGTGTGGATGGATAGGTGGGTGGATGGATGGGAGAATGGATAGATAGATGGATGGGTAAATGAACAGATGGGGGGAAATGGATGGATGGAAAAGAAATTACTTCTGTTCTTCATAACAGAGTTGTAAGAAGTAGCAAACACATTTTACAGTTGAGGAAATGAAGCTCAAAGAGGTTATCCGCCAAGGTCACTCATCAGATCAGCAGCTGCGCTGGTGTGCAAACCCACCTTTGGGACCCTAGCTTCCTGCTGAAGAAAGCGCTCTGTAACAGCCACCGGCAGCTAACAATCAGTGATCAGGGATTCTGTGCCAGGCCATGTTCTGAATATTACATGTCGTATCTTATTCAATCCTCCGATAAACCTAATGAAATCAATCTAGGAAAACGAGGCATATGAAAGCTAAGACACTTGCTGAAGGTCACAGAGCCAATAAGAGGCAGAGCTGGACTCAAACCTCAGCACTGCGACTTCAGTCAAGGGCTCTTTTCCACTTTGCCGCCTCTTAGAGGCCAGACACAAATCATCAAACGTGTTGAATGGAGGAATAAGTGAACAAAGCAGGCTGGGCTGCCGAGGGGCAGGGGAATTGCTGCCTGCTTGGAGCAGAGCGGACGGCTGCGAAGAAGGGGCTGGGGGCCCTGCCCTGGGGCAGGTCTCTCTGGCCAACAAGGACCAGACCTCAGAGGGGACAGTCACCCTCCCTGAGAGCCAGCATCTGCCTCGGGGTCTGACCCTGGCTGGGGCCGCGTGAAGAGCTTAGATTAGAATCAGGACGCCCAGATGCACCTGTCTGCCCAGCTGGACGTGAAGAGGCAGGGCTGGGTCATCTGTGAGTGGGGAGACACGGTCCTAAGGAACAGTCGCAGGAGGGGCAGTAGCGGCCCCAGGCGCTGAATGGGAGAGAGGAGGAAGGAGGGAGAGCCTGCTGGATAAAGGCAGGGAGCACGCCTCCACCCAAAGGCCTCCCTCAGCTACCCAAGTTCCTGGGGCCACACCAGGATCCAGAGCCCAGCCCGGGGGCTAGGAGGCATCAGGCACAGGCCGGGCACGGCCATGATAGGGGAGGGGCGGGCTTCAGAGGTCAGAACACCTCAGTCGGCAGGATCCAGGCCCTGGGGGTTTGACTGAATCTCCACAATCATGGTGCATGTACCAGGTCAACGTTGGAATGGTCCCCCAGGGCCTACAGTCCCCAGCTTCTTGGATCTGCAAGCAACAGCAACTCTGGATTTCTGCCCATATAGACCAGATGTAGAAAGATGCCAGCCCTTTCCATCCACTCTCCAAAGCCATGGGACGTTCCCCAAGCAACTTGGGCCTTCTTTTACAAACATCCAGCACACTACTCCTGCATCTCTTGCCTCCAAGCCCCCAGCCCCCCAAACTCCCAGCCAGACACCACCTCCACCTCCAAGAAGCCCTCCAGGAAGCAGTGCCACCCTTTCCAAGGAGATGAGGACCATATTCATATTCCTCCTTCCAGCCCTTCCCTTCCATCCAGGGGCCATCTGAGAGGTTATGTGACCTCTGCTAAACACCTGCAGAGAGAAAGCTGGAGGTTGAGATGTACGAGCGGGTCCCGGAAGGACCTCTGCCCACCCAAGTCAGCTTTTGAACATCGCCTGCAGCCTGAAATCTCACCCCGTGAACTTGGCTCCACAACAACGTACCATCCCCAGGGTGGGGCTGCATCCTCAGCTGTCTCCGGGGGTACCCAGGGATCTGAGGCCTGGCACAGGAGCTCAGAATCCAGCCACACGAGAAAAACAGGCCTCAACACTGGACATACAACATGGTCATGTCCACTCCCCCCCACCAAAAGAGTTACACTGGAAAGAAAAACACCAAAGCAATAATAATTTTAGTACTAGAGAAATACAAATGGGAGATGCTTGTGTTTTGTTTTTGCTATTCCCTTAATTTTCTGCAATGTGGCTATGTTATAAGAAAAAGTAATTTTAATAGTAACTTTAGGCATAGAGGGGATCCCCTTCCCCTCAAAAAGTAGGAAAACGGTTCACTTGGGAGTTGAAGTTTGAGCTCTGGCATCACTGGTCCCCACTCCCCCCGCCAATTAGTCTGATCCATTCATGCATTCATTCAACCAACTACTATGAAAACAGCCCAGGAACACGCTGCCCCCATGTTACAGACAAGACAGCTAAGGCTCAGTGCCACTAAATGAAATCACATATGAGAAAGTAGCTATGACGGTGCTTAATGCACAGCAGGGATTAGCGAAAAGTTAAGTGACTTGGCTGAAAGCAATCTTTCGTATTTCTTCCATCTTCCCAAATGGGGCCTCAGTCACCATTTCAGTGGGATGCGTGAGCAGGATTCTCTGAATGCCCACGTTCCTCGCAGCTGCAAAGGAGGGATGGGGTGGGCAGCGGCAGAGGAAGGTCTGAGGTCGCTGCAGGACCAGCGTGGGGAGAGCAAAGCCTGTGTCCTCCACGGGTGCTGCGCTCAGACACCAGATGCCTCCACCAGCCAGGACGCCGCGGCCCTCACCTCACCACGTGCTGGATCCTAACACAGCTCTCAGGCCGCTGCACCTCCCTCTAAACACCTCCATGACCCCAAACCGGGCGGGATTCGGCGACGGCTCCCAACTCGCCCCCCACGTGCATCCTCACAGCTGCGGCAGCCAGAATGAGGCACTCAGAACTCAGATCAGAGATGCAGAGGACAGGCGGGTGGTTTCCAGAGGCGGGGAGAGGGGTGGTGGAATGGGTGAAGGGGCTCAACGGGTGCAAACTTCCAGTTATAAGATAAGTAAGTCCTGGGGATGTAAAGTGGAGCATGGTGACTACAGTTAACAATACTGTGCGCAGCGTCTATTTAAAAGGTGCCAAGAGAGTCGCCATAAAAGGTCTCATCACACACACACACGCAACTGTGTGTGGCGACACACCTTAACTACACTCCGCGCAGTGATCATTTCCCAACATATACAAAATCAAATTACGCTGAACACCTGAAATGAATATGATGTTAGATGTCAATTATACCTCAACTGAAAAAAGGCTCAGATCCAGCCGACCCACACCCTGTTCAAAAGCCCTGAGTGGCTCTCATTGCACTCAAGCCCCCATGCTTGCCCCGCCTGGCCTCTCCAGCCTCCCTCCGGCCTGGGCCTGCGCTTGGCCTTCCAGAAACACCTACATCTCCCCAGGAGCACACACTGTCTATCCCACTGGGTCGCAGCAGCTGGTGCCCCAAACGCTCTTTTCCAGCCCACAACTCCTTCCTCCCCCTGGCTACCTCTAGGTATCAGCTTAGCTAGATGTCACCTCCTCCAGGAAGCCTGACACCCAGGCTAAGTTAAATGTCACCCTGTGGGTGCACACGGCCTGTCCTTCCCTTACCGGAGCACTGGTCACTGTGGTGTAACTGCCTGCCGTAAGCTCCAGGAGGGCAGGAACCTTCGCCTGTTCATCATCCTATCGGCAGGCACCCGGTACATTTTTTCAGGATGACTGTCCAATTCCCTAGGATCACAAAATAATAGAATTTCAGAGCCACGGCTCGTGGTCTGCCTCTAACTTAGTTTCTTTTAGTAAGTTACTCAACTCCTGGGGGCCTCTGATCCATCCATGAGAGAGAGAAGTGGACCGGCTCTTGTTCCTCTCTGCTCTGGGACAGCACCGGCATCACCTGGGACTTGTCAGAAATGCAGGATCTCAGGCCCCACCCTGGACTCACCGGGGTCAGAATCCCAGGGGGTGGGGCCCAGCCACCTGGTTTAACAAGCCCCCCAGGGGGTTCTGACGCTTGAGGAGTGGGTGGCTGCTGTGACTTGAGGGTTCCCCCTCCCACCCCTGCAGGTGGATTTCGAAGACGTGATCGCGGAGCCCGTGGGCACCTACAGTTTTGATGGCGTGTGGAAGGTGAGCTACACCACCTTCACCGTCTCCAAGTACTGGTGCTACCGCCTGCTGTCCACACTGCTGGGGGTCCCGCTGGCCCTGCTCTGGGGCTTCCTGTTCGCCTGCATCTCCTTCTGCCACATCTGGGCGGTGGTGCCCTGCATCAAGAGCTACCTGATCGAGATCCAGTGCATCAGCCACATCTACTCGCTCTGCATCCGCACCTTCTGCAACCCGCTCTTCGCTGCCCTGGGCCAGGTCTGCAGCAACATCAAGGTGATGCTGCGGAAAGAAGTATGAGGCTGGGTGGGCAGCAGGGGTGGCGGGGCAGGGGAGCCCCGCTGGGCTGGCCCCACCATCAGGCTCTGCGGGGCTGCCGGCAAGCTCTTTCTCCCTGGGGACCGCTGCTTCCCCCCCAAGACGGGAGCACACAGAGCAGGGAAGCCGGAGAGAAAAGACAGCCCGCCACGGAAGCGCAGTGGCCTTCCCTCCGCCCCCTGCCCCACCACAACACCCCCCATGACCGGGTGCCAGGAAGATCATTGGCTAAGAGGCAGCTACCGCAAATCTTTGCATTCACTTGTACTGTAACGGCACAATCCAGCCCTCAGCTCCCACCTGGACACACCCCCTCCCCCCCAGGAAACCACCAGTGACTGCTGGCGTTAGCAGGGTGGCTCCAATAAAGGGTTTCCGGCTGCATCTGGGAAATGCTGTGTTTTGCATGTGTCCATAAGGTGGGTGCGTGTCCTGACCAGCTCCAGAAATATATTTCTCTGCCCTGAGAAGCAGGAGGGGCAAGCTGGTCGGCCCTTCTCTTGGCCAAATGCAAGAACCAGATTTTGGTTTCTCTGGGAATTCTTGTTTGCGGGGTATCTGTTCCTTGGGAGATTATTTCCCGTTGATTTCTGTTGCCCCTGGGCCAGCCAGTGGTCACCCACAGAAGAAAATGGCCGCTGGGTTAGAAGGGGAAGGTGATACTCCCTGGGCACCACTGAGGGCAGGGCCTGGGTTCAAAGCGCACCTTTGGCTCAGACACTGAGCCCCTGGCACTGCCTCTTGGCATGTACACCCTCAGCCCCGCAGATGTGGTGATGGCATAAGGCCCTATTCAAGCATATGTGGACTCACCATGGAAGTAAAATGGAAATAAACGGCAATGGAAAGGATATGTCCCACCTCCTGCCCACCTACACTCAGCAGCAACAAAACAACAACAAAACCCCCAGAAATCTTACATTCTTTAGGGATGCTTTTCCCAAGGGTGTTTCCAGAACTAAGTCCTCAGAAAAAGGAGGGGGGTGGCTTTTGCGCTTAAATTCGTTTGGAAAATGCTCCATATTTCTCTTAGAGATTTTTCAATAGACATTAGTACATTAAAGGCTCTGACAAGTCCCGCAGAAAAGAAAGCTGTTTAGGCCAATAGCCCCCAACCCTATATGACCCTTTTTTTTTTCATGCAACACCCATTTAAGTCTCATAAAATTCAGGTTCCAAAACACTTGGCCTGTTTTCAGAGGCACCACCTCACTGGCAGCCGGCCATGCGCCCAAGGGTCCTGGGGCAATGAGGTAGAGGGAACGGCACATGAACCAGAGACGGGGCACAGGCAGCCTTGGTTCTGCCTCTCCACCTAGTTGCCTTCTCTGGCCTCAGTTTAATCCTGCATGAAATGATCTCTAATGTCCATTTTAGCTCTTTTTACCCATTTTCGTTTTTTCGAGTATCTTCGTATGACATTTTCAAACACCGAGGAATGTTGAAAAGGTTTGCCGTGAACACCTATCTACCCACCATCTAGGCTCTACGGTTCAGTTCCCTGCTCCTCCTTTGTTGCATCGCCATCCATCTATCATCCACCAATCTCACCTTTCTTTAGGCATTTTTAAATAAGCTGCAGATATTGGTATATTTTCCTCCTGAACACTTCATCATCATCCCTTACTTTTTGCAAACAAGGAAGTCACCGCCCAGAGAGGTCAGCAGACTTGCCAAAAGGTACACAGCTAGCCACATTCGTGCTGTGGTTCCAGCCCACTGCTCTCTGCTCTACCTGGGGCTCTTCATGTTCTCAAGTGGACGCAGAGCCCAGGCTCCTCCCGCTAACAGGTATAAGCCAACGTCGCTTACTCCCTTGCAAAGGGCCTCCCCATCAAACGTCTCTCACATTGTTAGGCCATCCGTTTCAGACTTGGAATCTTGGGTTACTTAGACTTTTGTTTTGTTTTGTTTTGTTTTGTTTGCGGTACGCGGGCCTCTCACTGCTGTGGCCTCTCCCGTTGCGGAGCACAGGCTCCGGACGTGCAGGCTCAGCGGCCATGGCTCACGGGCGCAGCCGCTCCGCGGCACGTGGGATGTTCCCGGACCGGGGCACGAACCCGTGTCCCCTGCATCGGCAGGCAGACTCTCAACTACTGCGCCACCAGGGAAGCCCTACGCAGACTTTTGACCATCGCCGCATTTGCTGTGACCTGACTTGACCCTGACGCCTATTTTTCAAGCTGGCTCTCCTTCTCTAAGGGCCAGGCTACGGCAGGCGCTCCATCCCCCGTGAAGCTCATGGGGCTGGAGAAAGGACACACATCCAGATGCATGTATGTCTGAGGTGTTGTTCCTTCTGGGGACCCCCGGCCCCAAGAAGTAGCTGGCAGGACAGCACGCTGGGGGCGTGATGAAAACGGGCCAGAGGAGGGGGTGGCATTCTGCTCTCTCTCATACGCGACGTCCGGCTCATCAGGGACTCTTGTTTAAGACGCAGGTTGTGATTCAGTAGTGGAGCCCAGGAACAAACACAAAACCACTTGTGATTCTGCAGGTGGCCCCCATATCCCACTGGAAGAAATATGCCTTAGGGTCTCTTCAAGGTGACAATCTAGCCCATTACGTCTGGAGTTAGACAGTGGCACACGGTGGGTGTGGCTACACCGTACAAGAGGTTTGTTCCTGGCTCTTAGCGCATCTTCCGACAGAACTCTGATAAGTCAGAGTACCTGTGACCCAAGAGATTGGGACCAGGTCCCCTCCTGCCCCCACCCCCTACCTGCCACAGCTCAGATGCACCTGTGTCATAATCAGACAGATTTATGGCGATTCAAGGGAAGCCGGCAAAGATATTCAAGTCTGTAAGCCACCAGATGTGGTCACTGTTCTCAGGTTAAAGAAAGAAGGCAAAGCAATCTATGGAAAAAAATACGTTTATTAAGTGCACCTTCTATAAAGCAGCCAATGAAGCAGGCATCTCATTATCGGGCACATCATTCACCAACGAGCACAGAGAGCAGGTGCCACAGAAAGTCACCAACTAGAACGAAATCGAGGAATTCACATTCTGCATTTAGGGGCATTTCATCGCAATTAAACACAAAAGGTCGAACACTTTGAAACCAGGATCTTCTTAAAAGGCAGCTTCCTGCAGTCATAACCCATAGACCCACCCCCCAAGGGAGACCAAATGGTGTGACAGACTTTTTTTCAGGGCCTAAAGAAGTAAGGCTCTGAGTCCTCAACTGTTTGCATTTCACTTTTCAACATCAGAACGATGAAACATTCCGGAAGAAAATCTGCACGCTCCAATTTACTGGCACCTCCAGGCATGTGTTAGGTTTGTAAACAGGCCTGAAACGGTGGGCAAAGGTGGCTGGAGGACCTTAGGAGTGGGGTCCAGAGGAGGACAGGAACGACCAAACCCCAGGCAGCGTCCTGGACCCCTACTCTCCTTCTTCCAGACTTCGGTTGGGGAAGGAGCAAGCGATTGTGAAAATACTCTCCAGGACGAGACTGGGAGTGGACGGGCGTGTAGCCAGCGGCGCTGCTGGAATCAAATGTCACTGACTGGCTACAAAAGACTCCTGTGCCATAATGAGAGCCAAGGTCCCAACCAGAGCTTTCACGGGAGAAGAATGAGGAAGGTGTCCCAGTTGGTTCTGGTGCCCAAGAACCTTGCAACTCCTGGGTTCTCAGCAAGGTTGTGCCCGTGGTCAGAAAAATCTATTGAGTGGCTGTCTCCTTGATCCCCAGTGGCCTCTGGCGGCTGCTAGAATGGCAACTTTCCGAGGAACAGCAGAGAATGGGGCGTCTCTGGCTGGTGAGCAGAGAGGCTCAAATGCCAACAGACCCCACCACTGCTGCACTCGCACCCAGGGTGCCCAGTGTCCTGGATGTGGGCACGGAACCCCAAACCAGCACCCTGTTAGCTTCCCAAAGAGCCAGGACTGGCTGGTGTTGACACTAAGCACCCGTCACAGCAACACTGCACTGCCTCTGGGTTCAAAGATGACATCGTGCTCAGTCTCCAGTTATACTGAAGATCTTATCCTAAATGCTGGGGTTTCGAACACTGGCATTTCAGTGCACGCCTCTCTTCTCCCTGAACATCCAGACCCTGCTGGCTCGTTCTACTGTGTGCGTATGTGCACGTGTGTATACAATGCAGTGTGGAGGGAGAAGAGGAAAGTGTGTGTGGAGATCTGGGGCTTTGGGAAGTGCTCTTGCTGTGTCACAGTGAGTCCAAAAATATATATGTGCAAATAAAAAAAGTGCCCCAGCGTGCCACTGAGCTGGCCAGTCCCAGTCGGAAAACCTCTGATCTATAACGGCCTGTATTTAACGACTAAAGGTGTTTCCCGGACACGGTCATGTTGTACCTCAAGGCTGAGAGGACATCTGACGACACGTTTACCGGGTATTATCACTGCTGGTACTTTTGCTGAAACCGGAAACACCATCTCTCGCAGGAAAACTGAGTAAGAAAACCATGGATTCTTCTGAAATGGTGAGTCAGTGAGAAACAAAAGTTCTGGGAGGTAAGAGATTCCAAGAAATGCATCCTTCAAGCTGGTTGCCTCTGAATTCAGCTCGTCAACATTATTTTAAGTATTTAATTCAGTGGCTTTTAGCATATTCTCAAAATCGTGCACATCACTAACCAAAGAAAATTTTCATCACCACAAAGAAAGCCCATATGGCGCTCAGCGGTCACGCCCCACCCAGCCCAGCCTCCAGCCCCTGGCAACCACTGTTGTATAATTTGTCTTGGTAATTTTGCCTATTCCGGGCATTTCATATAAATGGAATCATGGAGTATGTGGCTTTTCGCAAGGCTTCTTTCACTTAGCATGATGTTTTCAAGGTTCCTCCATGCTGGAGCCTGTGTCAGTACTTCCTTTCTTTCCATAGTTCAATAATGTGCCATTGCATAGATACACTACGTTTATTTATCCATTCATCAGTTGGTAGGTATTTGGGTTATTTCCATTTTTGGCTATTATGAATTATACTGCTATAAACATTTGTGGACAAGTTTTTGTGTGTATATATGCTTCCGTTTCTCTTGAGTAAATACCTAGGAGTAGCATTTCTGGCTCACATGGTAATTCTATGTTTAACTTTTTCAGGAGCTGCCAAACTGTTTTCCAAATTGGCCGCACCATTGTGCCTTCCCACGAGCGATGGAGGAGAGCTCCAGTTTCTCTCCATGCTCGCCAGCACCTATCATTGCCCATGATTAGAGCCATCTTAGAGGGTGTGCAGTGCTACTTCACTGTGGTTTTGATTTGCATTTCCCTCGTGAGTTAATACTGAGCACCTTCTCACGTGCTTATGGGCCACTTATATCTCTTCTTTGGAGAGATACGAAAATACGTCTATTCACTTGTTTGTTCAAATATGTTGCCCATTTTTTAAACTGGGTTATTTGGCTTTTCATTCTTAAATCGTAAGAGTTCTTGATGTATTCTAGATACAAGTATATGGCTTCCAAATATTTTCTTCCATTCCATGAGCTGTCATCACTTTCTCGATAGTGCCCTATGAAACGCAAAAGTTTTGTGCCCCATTTTGATGAGGTCCAATTTATCTATTCTTCCTTTGACTTCTGTTTCGGGTGTCATTATCTAAGAAACCATGGCCTAACCCAAGGTCACAAATATTTAGCCCTATGTTGTCTTCTAAGACTTTTATAGTTTTAGCTCTTACATTTAGGTTGATGCATTTTGAGTTAATTTTTGTATATAGTATGAGGTAGAGGTCCAACCGCATTCTTTTACATGTGGATATCCAGCTGTCCAGGCGCCATTTATTGAAAAGACAATCTCCCCAATTTAATTCTCTTGTCACACTTGTCAAAAATCTTTTGGCCATAAACATAAGGGTTTATATCTGAACTCTCTAGTCCATTACATTGGTCTATATATCTGTCTTTTTGTCTATATCACATTCTTTTGATTACTGTAGCTTTGTAATAAGTTTTGAACCAGGAAGGGTGAATCCATCAACTCTGTCCTGTTTTTCAAGGTTTATTTGGCTATTCTATTATTTGTGCAATTTCCAAGTGAATTTTAGGATCATCTTAGCAATTTGTGCAAAGAAGCCAGCTAGGATTTTGATAGGGATTACACTGAATCTATAAGATCAACTTGGAGAGTACTGTTATCTTAACAATATTTAAGTCTCTGAGTCATGAACACAGGATGTCTTTCCATTTATTTAAGTCTTCTATTCCTTTCAACAATATTTTGTAGTTTTCAGGATGTAAGTCCTGCACTTCTTTCATTAAATTTATTCCTTTTCTTTCTGATACTATTATAAATGAAATTATTTCTTAATTTCATTTTCATACTGTTCATTGCCAGTGTAAAGAAATACACTTGATTTTTGTATTGACCTTGTATTCCACAACCTTGAATTCATGTATTAGTTCCAATGCGTTTGTGTGTGCATGTGTGTGCATGAATTCCTTAGAATTTTCTATATACAAAATCACATCATCTGTAAGGAGTTTTACTTCTTTTCCAATCTGGATGTCTTTTATTTCCTTTTCTTTCCCAACTGCTTCTGAAGTATTAGCTTCTTAAACATTTTTTTCCTCTTAAACATTTTTTTCTTTTTTCTCTTAAACATTTTTAACCCAAGTTTTAATTGGCTGCCTGTGCCTGACAGTCTCCTAAGAGAATCTCCTGCTCTAGGGCCACCATCTGACAAGCTGGTGCTCAAGGACGCTAGCACCAGTCCACTCAAAGGCAGAAGCACTCTGAGGCCAGGAGGATATCAGCACCATCACCATCAAGGTCCCATTTCTCATCCCAAGCTCAGAACACTAGGCTTCCGCACGCATCTGGTCACCAATCCTATACTTACTACCTTTCACAAGACCCCAGGATAAAGGAGCAAAAAGATACTGGAGTGAAATTACAGGTCCAGGGGAAACAAAACAAAACAAACCCACAACCCATCCAGCAACCAGATGCAACAGTGGGGTCAGGGCAGCAGGAGTACCCATGGGAGCCCAGGGTAGATCCGGGGCTCAGCTGATGGCTGAGTCACCCTATCACCCTCCCCCATGGAGACCACTTCCCCACCCCGCTCGAGCCCCGCAAGGTGCGGAGGGGCACACACTGAAAGGTACCTTATACACACACGTACACGACCACCCATGGCCAGACTGTCCCTGTTGTACAATCCAAGCCAAGAGGGGTGGTCCTGGCCCCGCCGGTCACACCGTGGATGGCTGCGAGCAGCCCCTCTGGCTGGAGCTGTCTGGGCTCAGGACAAAGGTCGACGAGTTGCTCTTTTTGCTGACGCTTGTCTCCCTGGGCCGGCGGCCCTTCAGGCAGCTGGACGAGCAGCAGAGGAAGCGCTGCACGAGTTCGTGGAAGAGGTGGCCCGTGAAGAGCATGTAGATCCAGGGGTTGCAGCAGCTGTTGAGACTGGCCAGCAGCATGGCGATGATGAAAGCCGAGGCTGAAGGGCGGGGGGGGAGAAAGGAGGACAGGGCATCACTGCTGGGGCATGGAGCATCACCTCCTGAGAACAGAGGCCACAGGCCAGTCACAAGACGGAGGACCAAAGAGACCAAGTCTGCCTGCCTTCCATATCCATGCTCTGGGCGTGCACTCAGCCTACCCCCCACGCCTCCCCCAGCTTAGCCCAGCCCTGGAACATTCCCTGTCCTTTCTCCCAAGCGAAGGTTACCCACCCCGGGCTTCCATCGGCACAGCCGCCTGTCCGTCCATTCATCACTCACCCCGCGAGTATCGACTGCCTCCCACTCAGAGTATCCAAGAGCTCAGAGGCAGAAGCTGCCAGACCTAGTTTGTATTCTAGCCCCGCCAGCAACAAATACTTTAACTCCCCAAGAAACTGCTGTTGCCTAACCTTTAAATGGGGATAACAAGAGTCCCCAGATCTCCCGGGAACACTGCGAGGGTGAAAGAGCACCTGCTACCTGAAGGATGCTTAGGAGGTTCCCAGGCAGAGAAGGGAGGAAGGGCGCTTCGGGCAGAAGGGAACGGCACAGGCAAAGGCGCAGTGACAAGAAGGCGTGTGCTGCCTTCACAGCTGAGAACACTGAAAGTGTTTCTGTGAAGATACGCCTAAGAGCACTGCTTCAGCCAACAAATAAGACTTGTGCAGGAGAAGGGGACCCTAAAATTATGTGAGGCACTGTGCAGAAGCTACTACACTGAGGATTTACTGGATTTCAGGTAAAATTAATGATCAGAAATCAACTTCAAGACATTGCTTGTCACAAATTTAAGCTTCAGGGAGGAAGAAAAATTCCTAATCCTAAGTACCTCCAAATAGGGGGTGGGGTGGGGAGCCTGGGTTTCCTTCAATGGTCTTAATCTGACAAATGTACACACTCCCAGCGGCAGAGGACACAGGCACCCCCCCCCAGAAACCCACACGGAAAACGGTGTTCCCAAGAATGCTGTTCACGGCCACACCCTTATGAGTAACGGTAACTGCAAGAAGGCTTGGAAAATCCACTAGTCCGATATTTTCTGCAACAAATTTTCAAGGAAGAACTCCAGAATTCAAGAGCTCAATCCAGGAAAGAATTTCTCACAGGCCAACTGGAGTTGCAAGATCTAGACGCCACTGTGGACGCAGACAGAGCACAGAGATGTCTGTCAGCCACGTCTCCAAGCACCAAAGGGGGAGGGTGACTGTTTAAGAGGAATTCAGTGGTTCTCAAAGTGGGGTCCCCAGCTCACCTGGGAACTTGACAGAAGTGTAAATTCTCAGGCCCCACCCTAGATCTAGTGGATCAGACTCCTGGGGGTGAGGCTCAATGATCTGCTATAAACAGTCCTCCAGGGGATTCTGACGCACACCCAAGTTTGAGAACATCATCTGCTCTAATTACCTGGTGCACCTGCTGGAACAAAAGCAAGCTATAACACGCAAAGTCCACAAGTCCTGCAAACGAAAATGTTTAGAAAGCAAAGGATTAGAAAGTAAACCTAATCCTTAGACTAAAATAGTAAAGATAAGTGAAGGGTGGGGTGGGGGGAAGCCAGTACTGTTGAATTCTATGAAAGAGAATGGAAAAACATATTTGATTTCCATGTGTAAAAAAGGATGAATTTAAGTTTAGAAACCTGGTGAAATATCACAAAGTCTAAAAATATCTCAAAATTATAATTAAACATATAAAATGAAAGAGACAAAATAAACACATAAAAGTCAAAATTTAAAAAGGCATCGAGGGACTTTCCTTGTGGTCCAGTGGTTAAAACTCCGTGCTTCCAGCTCAGGGGGCGCGGGTTCGATCCCCGGTCGGGGGATAAGATCCCACATGCCGCACGGCACGTCAAAAAGATTTAAAAAAAATTTTTTTTAAAGGCATTGAGAAGTAAAGTGCCAGACACAAGGGAAGAACACAGGCGTACAGAGCTGTGAAATGGGTAGAAGGACGTGTCGGGGATGCAGTTCTCACTTGAACAGAAAGGCAGCATGTTCTACCTCGCTGAACAGTTACAAGGGATTATCTTAGCTATTCATGTAAGTTACTCGCCTCACTCTTGACATTTGGATCTTTTAACTTATTTATCCTATTTTTTATAAACAACCTACAGAAACAGTAACCACAGAAAAGTAAACAGTTAATGAATTCCTGAGCAGCCCCACCCGAGTTTTTCCACCTCCAAGTGGCCAGCCTGGATGGGAGCAGTTGGGACCACGGCCAGCACCTCTATCCCCACCTGGTGGCCACAGACACGAATGACCGGCCTGGCCTGGCTCTCGGGGAAGGAGGACCCTCTAAGCTGAACCTGCTTGTATCAAGTTGCCAAATGCTAAGGGCACATTTGGACTTTTTAAAAATGTGGCAATATCCTAACCAACCAAAGACATGGGTTCCCAACAGTGGAATTTCAAGCTATTTGGGAATAAAACACAGGCTATGGAGGACATTTCAAAGGAAGGATGCTGCAGAAATAAAGGTACAAAGGTGAGACTGTCCAACAGCATTCAGGGGCTGCCAGAATTGGGGGCGGGGGTGGGTTCACAGGAGAGGAAACTGGAAAGAGCAAGGCTGAGGAGGAGGACCTTGAATCCAGGCTGAGCACGAACTTAAATCTACAGGCACTGGGGAGCCATTGACGGTTTCTGAGCACAAGGACTAACTGCACCTCATCTACTTTCTGCACTTACTTCATCTTGTTTAGGCTATAACATCGCCCTTTGCAGTGGCTAGAAAGGCTTCCTGGAATTGAAGAAGGAGAGGAACAGAACAAAGCATGGAAAGCGTCGTCCTTGGCATTTCATGATGCTGCTTCCAAGGGGGCATATGACAATGCAGCAATGTCAACCATGGGAATCACGGCTCAAGCTTGCACAGAAGAGTTTTCAAAGCGGTCTCATCTCCATTTTATACATGAGGAAAGTGAAGCTCGGAGAAGGAAAGTGCCTTCCCCAGGGACACACAAGTCACCCTGTGTTCCCACCTGAAAGTAATGAAGCTGGATGCCTTTTAAAGCTAGGTCAGCATTCATACTAGTCAGCTTGGCTCCAGTGAGCAAATCCCCTCACTCCCAAAGCAGAGACATGGGCTGACTGGGCAACTGCCCTCATATGATTTGAAGGACAGAGTCAGAGAGCAACTTTCTTTTCCTAAAACAGATGTAGGCCCCCTCGGAGGCTAAGCACTGCCCACTCCCCAGTAATGGTCTTTTATATTATTTTTTTAAATAAATTTATTTTATTCATTTATTTTGGGCTGCGTTGGGTCTTTGTTGCTGCGCGCGGGCTTTCTCTAGTCATGGCGAGCGGGGGCTACTCTTCGTTGCAGTGCGTGGGGCTTCTCACTGCGGTGGCTTCTCGTTGCAGAGTACGGGCTCTAGGCGCGCGGGCTTCAGTAGTTGTGGGTTGCGGGCTCTAGAGCACAGGCTCAGTACTTGTGGCGCACGGGCTTAGTTGTTTCGTGGCATGTGGGATCTTCCCAGACCAGGGATAGAGCCTGTGTCCCCTGCATTGGCAGGCGGATTCTTAACCGCTGTGCCACCAGGGAAGTCCCGTAATGGTCTTTTAAAATCCGGGAGGGGAAACCCATTGCCTCCTATCAGATCACCATCCTTCCTGGCAGAAATGTCTCCTGGTCTGGACGAGGGGCCAGCAAACAGCCCACGGGCCAAACCCCACCTGCTGCTTGTTTTTGTAAATGAAGCTTTACTGAAACACAGCCACATCCACTCATTCATATATTGTCAATGCCAGCTTTCGCACTACAAGGGCAAAGCTGAGTAGCTGTTACAGAGATCTTATATCCTGCGAGCCTCAAATATTTACTGTTTGGCCTTTTACAGAAAAAGTGAGCCAATCCTTGATCTAAATGCCTGTAGGAGAAGACGTTAAAAAGCAGAAGAAAAGGGCTCAAAAAGGGGAGGGGCAGACCCACAGGGTAAGTTGGGCTCACTTCTCCCCACGCCACCAGAAGCAGAAGTGGGTGATGCCTTTACTTTTAAGTACCCAGACCTCCCACAAACCCTGGCTCGGCCACCTTGCACCTGGGGCCAGAGGGTAACACCCTGTCCCGGGCAGCCCACGTCCAGTGCCTGCTGCACACCAGGGCACCAAGGTCCGCCCCGTGCCTGCGTGCCAGCTGCTCTAAACAGCTACGGAGCTCCTGGCGACAATGGTCCCAGCCACATTTTCCATAAAGCAGAGCGACGGTGACGTCAGTGTGGATAAAAGGCGGCCCTGGAAACCAGAATCGACAGACTCATCCAAGAGAGGTGTGGTCAGCAGCCAGTACCTCCTGGGGGTGTCTGGCCATCGGGGAGCCCCTCACAGAGGATCCGGACGCAAACCCGTGGGGTGCGAACCCCCCTCCCACCCACTCATTTCTCTGAGCCACATCTACTGTCTGAGCTTTAATATCCTCATCTGTGAAATGGAGGTGACGCCCTGAAGGACTTGGAGAAAATTGAAAAAAAAAAAAAAAAGTGTGAAAGGGCTTTGTAAACGGCAAAGTGTTTGTTCAGGTTATCGTATTATTACTTACAGATACGAAATATGATCAACTGTGTATAACTTTTTATCGCCCAAGGTTGGGGACTCCTAATCTAACGTTGATTCAAGAAACTGTCCTTTACCCTCTTCTCCCCGACTTCAAAATTAAAAAAAATGAAACAAAACAAAATGAAAACCTGGAGCCCTGGGATTGGATTACATGACCCCAAAGGAACTCTAGATAGTCCGTTTTGGAAAAACCCAAAAGGGACGGGGGCTGCAACCATGTGCAAGAGCGGGATTTCAGGGTCTCCACCGGGAGAGCTGGTTCTCATCCGTCTCTTCCACTCCACTCAGTAAAAGGAACACTTGTCCCCCAGGACTGAGCCCTGAGGGCCTAAAAAAGCTCTCTCTGGTCCTGGCAGAGAAGGAAGGTCGAGTGGGAGGCGCCGGGCCAGGGATCGGCCCTCACACCTGCCTGGCCAGGGCTTAGGGCATGGGGCAGG